TGTGGGACGAGAAGACACCAGGCAAATCTTCTCCCCCCACACAACCATTTCCCGACCTCTTGTTATCATGTGTCCCAATGGGAAGTATGCAAGGATAGGTGCGGGCTTTGACCTGCCCCTTACTATACTCATTGCCCAGATAACTCTATGATACTCCAGGGGCTCTAGGACTTTCCAAGACAGATGAATGGGCCTCCTGCATAAAGACCACAAACACTTTCCTTCTCCCTATTTCTGTTAGTCCAGCCATGAGAAGGAGGAAGGGACTTGCGCCCCATAGGAACCACGTGGACCTCTTCCCCCACCTTCTAGAGATAATCAGAGGGAAGGAAGAAGAGGCTGCTAGATTTCCGGGACCCACAGGGATTTTTGTGGGGTTTGTTTTTCTCAGCACTGTCTGCAGAAGTGAAGGCATGAATAAAAGAACAAGAAAAGATTTACTGTTCTCACATCTTGGCAGCACAGCCAGAGAGGAGGCGTGGGTGCAGGTGAGAGGGCGTGCTGGCCTTCAAGAAGAGTCAGGCCCTGCATAGTGTGTCTGTGGAGGTGGTGTTGGGGGTAAGTTAGGAGAGGTGTATTTAGGCTAGCTTTTCAGCTGCACCACCCAGTCTGCCTACAGGTGAAATGGCATGGTGAGAGGGATTTGGGGTCAGTGGAGACATCAGCAAGCCACTGGGGTCTGGGTCTCTATAACTAACCCAGTGGAAGATAGTGGGCTGGCAGTGTGTTGCCAGTGAGACCCAAAAAGAAATGATGCTGGGCCAGGAATGTCACTTAAGGTCCTCATAATAGACACATTTAAGAATGACTTGGTTTTAGTTCTTGTTGTTGTTTTGAGACAGAGTCTTGCTAAGTAGCCCAGAAGGTCCTCCTGCCTCAGTTTCCCAAGTGCTGGGATTTATAGTTGTGAGTAACCACACCCAGCTAGGCATAACTCTTATCTTAGCCTGGCCTGAGAATGGGAATTATAATCTTTCAGCTGACTGTGCTGTTTCATACTGCCCAATGTCAGCTCAAGGCTATTATAAATCCATGATCTGGTGACATCTTGGTTCTTAGGCTATCAGAAAATGGACTGCTTTTTTGTACAAATGCAATCCTAACAGGTCAAAACCAGCTCTGCAAGATGATTTCATCCATGGCGTGTGTGCCTGCATGCACAGGTGCATGTGTGTGCATGCATCTGTGTTGTGAAGAACTTGATGGGACTTAAGAGAGGGTAAAACTCTTGAAAGATGGTAGTTAAGAGCCTTTCAATTCCCAGCACTCACATGGAAGCTAACAATTGCAACTCTGTAACTTCAGTTCTAGAGGATCTGGTGCTCTCTTCTGGTCTCCTTGGGTACTACACACACATAGTACACATATACATGCCAGAAAAACAACCATACACATAAAATTAAAAAAAGAAAAAGCGAGAAGAGCAGAAGTTTGAGAAGGGAGGTGGCTGAGGTAAGACCATGTAGGATTTCTTCCTTGCTATAGAGGTGTGCATATATGGGCCCCCCTCCCCACATTGCCTTCAAATGGGATTACAGGATTGTTGTCAAGCCTAGTCACACAGACCACATGCCTAAACAGCTGAAAGTAACCTGTTGAGGTAGCATGTTTTTGAGTTAAAAGTATTTTACTTCCTTACCAGAGCAAATGTACCCTTATAAAGATATGGAAGGCTGGGTTCAAATTTCAAGTTCTTGAATCCTTGGCTTTCTGCTATGGAGATGATACTCAGGGGAATGCTGGCTATGGCCACCTTGTCTCACCAGCCTTGCTGCAGCCTTTCCTCCAAAGGGCCTCTGTATAACTGTGTGATACCCCATGCTGCTTAGGTGAATGCCCGCTAAGTACCTCTTCCTTGGGGAAGATCTCTGTGCAGCCTTGGTAAACAGACTCAGCACAATTTGAATCCCAAGGTCTAGACCACTGACCTAGGTTCTGGGTAGCCGCATGATGCCCTAGGTAGGGGCTGATAATGGCTCCTGTCCAAAGAATAACACAGAACGGCCACAACAGATCTTGCCTGTGGCTCCCAGATTCCTAACACACCATAGAGCACCCCTGATTCCAGGGAGCTGCATTTCCATGTGAGCCCCAGCCTCTTAACAGTCCCTGGATTCATTTTCAGTGGAAAAATACCCAGAGTAATTCATTATGATCTCGCTCACATGGCCGCTCAGAATTTAAATGAGATAAACACAGAGGAAAACTCTAGTGTACAAATAGATTGCACTCCAGAACTCTCACAGAGCAGACTTCAACAAATGCTTGGGTGAGTGAAAGCTAATGAGACAAAACAGACATGTAGTGTCCAGGAAGGGGGTTGGGATGTGAAGCCACATACATTTTGAAGAAGTCTGGGTTAGGCCAAGTCACCAAAGGGGACGCTCACAAAAGCAGAGAAAATATGGGAGGCAGCCAGAGTCAGGTGGAAATTGGAGCTTGTCACTCATGTACTAGTTGCTCCATGGGTTTGTGTGTGGCGTGGGGAGGGCAGGGACAGAGGGTGCTGGTGAGGAGGAGAGAGGGGTCTTGGTGCAGGAGTCTGAAAGCTTGAGTCGCAGCATGGACTCCATTGCTTACTGATCAGCCTAATGAAGTCCTTAGACTTTGCTGCAGTTCTTAGTTCTCCTTTATTTAATGGCACTAAAAGCACAAGCCTTGCCTAACTTACAGAGCATGTGGAAAAACAAGACCATTTAGGTTATTATAACAACATAACTGAGATTCATGTATAAAACTTACAAATGAATGTAATTTCTTCAGCTCATGTCACTGGGAAGTCTAAACCCAAGGGACAAATTCATATTTTTCTCCTCACCCTCCTAAAGACAGGTCTCATGTAGTCTAAGATGGTCTCAAACTTGCTATCTATCTAGTCAAGATTGACCTTGAACTACTGATCCTCCTATCTCATCTTTTGAGTGCTGGGATTACAAGAATACTCTGTATTCTTGGTTTATGTGACACTGAGATTCAATCCTGAGGCTTCCTGAGGAGATGTGTGTAGGGGTCAATTCTGGAAAGACTGTTCTTGCTATGTCAATCTGTGGCAGAAGCTTGGGAGGCCATAGAATGTGACAGACTGAGAGGACCATACGTTCACAATTTTCTGGTAGGCTTGCATCTATTTGTGAGGAAGGAGCCTTCTGGACTAAACGCCTCCTTAACATTGTTCATTGAAGATTAAGTTTGACACATACTTTTGGGAGACTGGGCGGGGGATTCAAAATATACCAAGAGCAAAGTCAAAGTAATGAGAAAGGGTTAAAGCTGGACAAATGAAAATATGGCTGTGTTCAGCATCTACTAGGAACACTGCCAGTTGCCTTGTTTATTCTTGAAAACTTGGTTTGTTCAATGTTATATCTTGAGTGCCACATCCCACCTAAGCTTTAAGCACCAGAAGTAATAAAGTAGATCTGGTTTAGGGAGGGCAGAGGGAGAGAGAGATGAAACGAATAAAGTATGACAACATTTATGTAGGAAAGTATCATAGTAAAGCCTGTTATTTTGTATGCTAGCTTAAAAAGTAATTAAAAAGTAGCCCAGGCGTCAGACAACAGAGAGGTCAGACAACAGAGAGTTGCACAACTGTCAAAATCCCGAGAAAAGAGACTAAGTGCCCAGCCCTACACAGAACATCTGTTTCAATTCCCTCTTCCCAAGCCCAAGGAGGATTGTGGAAGAGGAAGCAGAACTAATGTAAAAGGTGTAGGGCAGGGAGAAATGCTGTAATGTGCTGTATTCTGGATATGACATGGATATTGCATCATTCACAGCCACACAAGATGAAGCCAGCCAAAATCTCAGCATAGATGGGGTGAGTAATCTGCAGGGTCCAACCCTTGCTGAGGAGCTATTAGCCTTGGCTAGTAGAGTAGGGGGAATTACTCTTTTCTGAGGATGTGACAATTGGTAGGCTCCCCATGCTTCAGTAGGTAGCCCCATACATATGGTCAGCACCAACTGGAGTTAGTGGAGTTATTTTAAAAAGATACAAGATTGAGAGGTGTCTTGAAGAGGTTATAAGGGAGTTGGGAGGAGGATAGTAACACCAGCCTGGACTTCAGAGGGCTGGCCATTAAGATGGAGCAGACGCCATGGCGGTATTGCTTATTTGCAGAAAGAGCATGGCCATGGCGATTTTCAGACTTCATCACGAGTACTTTGCAAGCATTTACAGAGAAAAGCTTGTTGACAAGAAAGACCTGACACAGTAAATGTGGAAACTGTCCACTTATTATCAGCATGCAATACTTTAAGAAAGCCTATAGAGATAAATAATGTTTCAATCTTAACCTCAGAAATTTATTTCCACACTGGTATATTTGCACAGAATAAAAACGGCTGAGATAGATTGCTATCTCTAATACATGACTTGGCTAGCCTAGGTGGAACTGTTCTTTTAATAGAAAAGACTAAAAGCCCCCTCCTGTATTGTGGTTCCTTCTAAAATATGTTTCTGTGTGTATACGTATGGGTACACACACACACACACACACACACACACACAGGTGTGGGGAGAGGAAGACAGGGAGAGAGGGACGGGAAAGAGAGAGGGAGAGTGGGGAAGGGGAAGATAAGAATTTTGGTTCTCAGAGACAAAGGATCACCTAACTCCTAGATCCTAGCCCAGGCCCTGGCTCTTCCCTGCATGCATCTGGGCCTTGGGGTTCTCATCTGTACTATATAGGTAATATTGCCTCTTAAGACTGAAACGAGACCAAAGTGTTACTTCAAAAGCACAAGCAACAGATAGGTGATTTAGAAATACAATTTAATTAGGAAGGGAGGCCTTCGTGTATCTGGGAGGTGGGTAGTGATGGGCACCCAGACCTCTTCCCTGCCTCCCTGCCTCCCTGCCTCCCTGCCTCCCTGCCTCCCTGCCTCCCTGCCTCCCTGCCTCCCTGCCTCCCTGCCTCCCTGCCTCCCTGCCTCCCTCCCTCCCTCCCTCCCTCCCTCCCTCCCTCCCTCCCTCCCTCCCTCCCTCCATGTTCCCTCTTCATTCCTTTTATATTCCTGAATCCCAGTGTGTACTAGCTCATGCAGATGAACATCTCAATATCTCAGCAGGTGCTGGCAACCTGCTGAGGAACATGGAGACACACACCATTAACTCCAGTACAGGACTGGGTGAAGGGCACCACAAGGGCTTAAGTAATCTGTGGAGCTGTTTTCAGATACTCCATTGGATGCAGGCCTTGAGAGATGAAGGTCAGATCTGAACTGGGTTAGTAAATGTGCTGGGGAGGGAAAGAGAACTAAAGAATTTGGGGACAGCTTGCAAACTCCTGACTTTTCCAGGAAATAGCAGGCAGGGATGGCATGGGGCAGAAGGCTAGGAATGGATGTGTGGACGCAGGATTGCTTTGCCCTCTCCGCTATGCTGAAGCTTGCTTTCTGTATTTTATGGGGAGCGAGAGGAGTCCCTGGAAGTTTTCAGGAAGAAGGGAGGCCGTGCTGATGGGTATAAAATGGACAGCTTGTCTGAGGAGACGTGTGAAGGAGGGCAAAGAGGGACACATCACTCAAAAACAACGTCTTTGCTTGGAGTTCTTAATATGTAAGAGGTAATTTTTATTCCTATGCTATTATTTTGTAATTCCTAATTGATGAACTGTCATGTTGGTGTGTGCTTGTAATCCCAGGACTTGAGAAGTAGAGGCAAGAAAATTGGGAGTTTGAAGCCAACCTAGGCTACACAAGGGTACTCTGTTTCCTCCCTCCCTCCCTCCCTCCCTCCCTCCCTCCCTCCCTCCCTCCCTCCCTCCCTCCTTTCCTTTTCTTTACAGCAACCAAACAAACCCACAAAAAAATCAAACCTTAACGACAGTTACTTTGTACCAGTGTGAACAATGAGGTGATATTGACAGCACAGGAAGTTGAAATTGGGGACGACAGGGCTATGCATCAAATCCCATGGTTACATCAACCTTGGTACTCAGTCTATTTCCTGATTTGGGTTCTGGTTGCCAGGCACCAAGAAGTTCTGATTTACAAGTTAGGTAACTTCTGTAATAGTCTTAGTGTCAGGATACCCTGTGATTAAAAGGGAACTTTGTGCTCAAAACCCTGAATAAGGATGAGCTAATTTCTCATCTTAAGCTCATGATCTGGTGATTTCTGTGGTTCAGATGATCAAGTTACACGAAGTTTAAATCAAACAGTTGAGAAACCCCAAGCCATATATGGAAGCTGAAGATAAGTGAGCTTTGTATTCCTTTTGTATTATTGTGACAGAATCACTGACACAGATTTTAGAGAGGAAGATTTATTTCAGTTTCAGGTTTCAGAGGAGCTTTAATCCATCATGACTCGGAAGGAAAGGTGGGTGGGGCAGCTCTGTCCACTGTGGCAGATGCTTAAAGCTATTCCAGTGTTTGTAGCCACTAAGCCATCTCTTCAATCCTGGGGTGATTGATAGTCTTATTTTTTATTTTATTGATGAGAAAATAAAATCAGAAAGCAGTTAAGCAGTTGCTGAAGTCACACAGCTAGGGCGTGGTCAAGCGGGAATTCAAATCCAGCAGTTTGCCTGCATCTTAATTGCTGTGCTCTGTCCTTCTTTGTCATGGTTCTAATTAAACCCCCACAAGAGTATCTACGCATTGGGAATGAATACTACATTTATCTTTTATTTTGTCCTATAAATATGCCCCCAGAAATAGTCATACATTTGTGAATTTTTATGGTAACATGTAGGAAGGGACTTAGTAGAAACTACATTCTGTACACACCCACATACAAAATGACCTTCCTGGAGCTGGGCTTGAGCCACCTGTGGCCCAGATGATGCTCTTAGTGTCACGGAGTCGGTAACATCTATGGGCCTGTGAGTCTTTGTTTTCTCTTCTAGCTGCAGGATCCAAAGTACCACGAGACAGATGCGGCACATAGAGTAATAGGATGCTTTGGGTTCGGCCGAATCCTCCTTAGGATTTAGTCTTAGCTGCCATTGGTTCTTCTAAGTTAGAGAAACTTCCCATTGAAGCATCCACTGCAGGAGACTGGGAAGCATAGGGAGGGAATGGGAATGAAAGTGAGTTAACAAAGTAGCCGAGTAGCCCTTGCACAGCAGTGTGTTAACAGAAGGTTCAGAGAGGCCAGGCCGAGCTCCTTAAAGTGAGCAGATGGGGAAAATGAAGACATGCCCACCAAGAAAGTTCTGATTGGCAGGAACAAGCCATTCTAGAATCAGGTAATGATTGGGGTGAAGGTTGACATGTTTTCCTTGTCTGAGTGGCCACCAAGCCTTTGAAATTGGAAGGAGCTTATTTTTAAAATTAACAAAAGGAACCTCCTGCTGGGAACAATTTATGAAGCTTGTTTCTTTGGTGTTGAAGCCATGGAATGAGAACAGTGTGCCAAGGAAAGGTTTAATGAGTTCTTGGAGAATTAAGTCAGACATGGTTACTAAAGGAAGTCTGAGAGGTACAGGGAAGTTTCCTCACGAGAAATTTTACAAAGTTCAGTAGGCTTTCCCATCCCTTGGTAATACTGCATGCCCATGTCCATAAGCCATGATTTCCAAGTGACCTTTAAGGACTTCCTCTTGGTGATAGCACACTGTGGCCCTTCCCATTCTCACCTTTAGGGTTTCATTTGAGTGCCATGTCCCCAAATATCACACCCTTCATTCCAGTCCACATGTCTCAAGGTCTTTGTACTGGTGATCCTGCCCAGGTCAGCTTCTTCATAAGGAAGAGTCTGGTTCCAGGACTGCAACTGCCACATGGCTCTGGGAATGAGTATTCGGTTTGTATCCCACATGGCCAAACTCTTAGCAACACACAGAAGAGCAGAGAAGGAAGCAGCAATGCTTGGACAGCTTATCTGTATCAGGCTCCAAGCAAGTAGTGTTATGGAAGTTGGTTGATAGAGTCTACAAAGACTGTGAGAAGGGAGGCCTATTTTACATTGTACAAATAAAGAAATGGAGTCTCAGAGAATTTAATAACACACCCAGAGTCACACAGCTAGTGAAGGGGGAGGGAGCATTTTTCTGACTCAACTCTGTATTTTTCCATTCTTCCCCTTTCCTAACAGAACATAAAAAGTTTCTCTCTTCTAATCTGAACTCTGGGATAGTGTTTCCTAGCAGGGTAGAGGCTGCTGTGTAGCAGTCTCCTCAGAGATAAACTTCCCATCTTGGAGGGAAACTCTGTAAGATGTTGTATATTCTACCCTTCAGGAAAACTTTGTAAAACTCAGGAAATGAACAACTCAATAGTTTCAGGAATTTACTGGAACTGATTGGATTCACTAAGCTCCTCCCCCATCAAGCATATATAATCAGTAAGGATTGCTAAGAGACACCCTCTCACGAGATAAGCCACCCAGTGGGAGCAGAGATCAGATGAACTGACCAGAAGGGGCAGAAACCAGCCTAGTGCGGGAAGAGAAATAGACCAGCTAGTTGAGGAATGCAAAGAGACTCAGGCTATCTGAGTTGCCCAGGAGAGATACTCTCTAAGCTTTTGAGCTGCCTACAGGAAGAACAGTGTGCTCCAGGTTTGCAGCTTTTGTGAACTATCTCCCATGCTGGTGTTTGGTGATACAACTGACTTTGAGTCATTTCTGCTCCTGTAAGTAACCCCTCACTCAGATTTCTATAAGTGACCCCACTCAAACTCATTGGTCCACCAAGTTGGACCTTCTGTGGTATTTTTACTTTGTCTGTTGTGGGTTCCTATCTGGGATGAGTAGATATTTGTTCCCATATCCCTAGGAAGAGTGTCACACAGCAGGAGCCAACACCCAGCACCCCCCATGACTTTCGGAGGCCCTAAGTTCTCATTCTGACCTTGGGTCCTAATTATTTGATCTAAGTCTCAGTTTTCATTACGGATAAAATGGGAAGAATGCCAAGTGTTCTATCAGAATCGTGAATGTAAGACAAGACAGCATACAAGCTCTTCATCACAGTTAGGGGTATTCTCAAAGGCAGAATAACCAGTGTTAAATTACCTACTGAGATCACTCGATCCTTTCTCCATTGTGGCCCACTCAGGCTTCCTGGGTGAGTTCTGGTCCCAGACATACCCGGCCTGAACTGATGAAGATTTTATTACCTAGCTAAGGGTAAGACTTTGGCAATTTCTTTGAGTTTGGTCATTGTGGGGAAGCATGGAGAAAAATCTAGAAAGGATGCACAACTTTTCTTGGTGCCAACTCAAGAAAGGCAGTATTTTTTAGATCCAAACCCTGGGCTTCCAGCCAAACTCCAGGAATAATGGAAACTGCTAGGGATGGAGGGGAAGATGGATGATGAGTCACTCACTTGGGGTGAATCTGGCAGCCAGAATTCCAGACGTTTCAAGGTATCTGAGAGATGAAGTGGGGAGGGCTAGAGACAGGCAGTGCAGGTGATAATGGGATTTTATGGAAGGTCTGTGACCTCCGCTCAGCCCTGCAAAAAAGGCCACGTGCCTTTTGAGCCCACACAAACCCTGTGTCACCTCTCTCCTGTGTCAGGGTCCCACTGTAATCTCTGCTCTGAAGCTCAGTGTCCTGTCATCAGAGTGCTGCTTTCCCTCTGACTATCCCCCAAGTCCTTCGTCCACTGCCTTCAGGAATGGAGGAGACTGACTAACTCCCACCTTCGAATCCCTCTGGGGACAAAACTGCTTTTTTTCTCTGTTGCTCTTCATGGTCCTTTTTCTCTTAAAAGCATTTAATATTATATTTATCATGTATTTGCACACATGTGTGCTTGTGTATGTCTATGTGTGTGAGTCATGTGTGGAAAGATTTTAATTACATTTAATTTATTGTGACTGTGTGCACATGCCAAGGAGTACATGTGGGGATTAATTCTTACCTTTCACCATATGAGTCTAAGGGTTGAACTCAGGTCGTTAGTTTTGGCAGCAAGCACCTTTATCCTCTGAGCTCTCTCATGACTCCTCTTGATATTCTTATACATACAGCCATTGGACTGTGCTAAGTGTGCTCTGAATACAGGAGAGGAGAGACAAATGAATCAGTACTTCAGTTAAATCATGCCTTTTGTTTTCTGTTTATGTGACCCTCACTTCTCATATCCATGAGCATGTGGATGGAATAAACCAAATAGAGGTTGGAAATATTGGGAGAAAAAAATTCTGTCTGTATTGAACTTGTGTAGGGTATCTTTTCTTGTTATTATTATCTAAATGATAGTCTATAATCAACATTTCCACAGCATTTACATTTTGCACTGATCATTCTCATTAATGTGCACATGATACAAAATATACAGGAGAATGTGCCTGACTTCTATATTAATACAATGCCATTGTACGTAAGAGAATTGAGCATTTGTGGATTTAGATCTCCATGTAGATACTGCAACTAATTCCCTGTGGAGACTGAGGAACAACTGTATTTTCTGTTGTTTTGATACTCAAGACCTTGCAGATCCTGAAGACACTGTTCTTAGTAGGGCTATCTATCCAATTCCTAGAGTCCAAGAAACATGCTACAAATATTTACTGAATGATTGGCTTGAAATAATATTGTTAAATTAGACTCTACTGTGGGTTGGGTATGGGCTGAATGTTTCCCAAAACTTTATTGAAATTTGATCCCT